ATAGGGCAGGGGTAGGCAACCTTGGTTCTTTTATGACTTGTAGACTGGCTCAGGAATTCTGGGAGTTGAAGTCCACGAGTCATAAAAGAGCCAAGGCTTCCTACCCCTGGTATAGGGTTTCCTGCTGAGCAGGGGGTTCGACTAGAACAGTGATTCTCAACCTTTTTAATGCCGTGACCCCCAACCGGTCGTAAGTTGAGGACAACTCAACCGGTCATAAGTCGAGGACTACTCAACTGGTGCAGCACCGTTTGCAGAATGGGGCTTTTGGCAGGCTCAGCAGGGCAGAGACAGCCTGGACAATTCCTATTGGCTTTTGAAAGCCAATAGAATTAGACTCTATTCAAGAAAGTCTATTCTATTGGCTTTCAAAAACCAATAGAATAAAAGGGAGTAGCACAGATAAGGAAAAGGGGAAAAAATGGCAGACTGCATTGTTTGGCGACCCCCATGAAGTGGTCGTTCGACCCCAAATGGGGTCCCGACCCACAGGTTGAGAACCACTGGACTAGAAGACTTCCAAGGTCCCTTCCAACTCTATTATTCCATGTTCTATATTTCTATTGCTAAGCAAGACGTTAAATGAGTTTTGCCCCATTTTTTGCCAAAGTTCCTAAATGTATCTTTTGTTAAGTTAGTAACATGGTTGCTAGGTGAATCTGGCTTCCCCATTGATTTTGCTTGCCAAAAGGTCACAAAAAGTGATCACATGACCCCAGGATACTGCAACCATCATAAATATGGGTCAGTTGCCAAACATTTGAATTTTGATCACGTGACCATGGGGATGCTGCACCAGCTTTAAGTGTGAAAAGCGGTCATAAATCCCTTTTTTCAGTGGCCTTGTAACTTTGGTCACTAAACAAATGGTGATAAGTCAAGGACTATCTGTATCAGCTTGGAAAACGGCTTGGTGCATGGTTCAGTCCAAGCCGGGAATAAACAACATGGCGACTGCTTTAGAAAGAAGATTGCAGTTTATTGAAGAGGAGAGCCAGACAGAAAGATGGCTCTGGAAGAAAAGAGAGAGAGCACATGTAGGGAGTGGGTTTTTATACCCTCTGGGGCTTTTGTTTGGAGTTGTTTCCTGTAACCCGTTTGAGGCTTTGCATTTCCTGTGTAGTGTATTCTGACCTGAGTCTGGATGTGCTCTTTGGCATCTGTGAGTTAATCCTATTATGTCCTGTCTTAGAGTTTGGGTGGGGTATGTAGATTTTAGGTGTCTTTGTCTTCCTAATCTTCTAGCTGGGGGCCTTCGACCTTCCTGGATGGTTTACATCTGCATTTGTACAGAGCTGGTTTCTGCTTGGGGGAGGAAGACCTGGGGCTATTAAGAAAACTGGGCATGCTTTTCTGCCTCTTTAAGATCCTTGGAGGAAATATATTTTTCTGCTCTTTTAATATTTCCTTCTCTAGGGGACTGACTTCCCACAGTGCAAAAGAATTCCTTGTTTACTATTCCTTTTACATAACCTAAGTTTTCTTGTTCTTTTCCCTCGCTCTGCAATCCATTCTCAAATAGAGGAAGGGGCAGCAGACAGAGAATCCTGGGGTATTACAATCCCAACATTTTCTGTGTGAGTTTGGGAAATTTTTTGGGGGAAAAATTGGCCCGAAAATGGTGAGACCAAAATAATGTCATGCAGGAAGGAGAAGAAAAAATGTTTTTTTTTTTTTTTTTGCATTTTTTCCCCTTGCTAGTTCTCATTCTCTTTGATGAGTTTCTTCTGAACTATCTTCTTAAGGAAAAGAGGACTTGGGTGTAAAAATGTAAAGGCTGAATACAGTGTTCTCACATTTCTTTAGCAATGAGATACTTCATATATTTATTACATTAAGGACTGCCACTGCTCCTAGCAGATGCTCTTGCATTTACAATAAAGATTAAAATCAATCCAATGCACCAGTTATAGTGAAAGCAGAATCTACAGCATCATAGTATATGACCTAGTGTCCCTCAGCCACCAACTATTAAACCTGTTGCAAGTTTTGTGCAGACAGATATTCAGACAGATATTCATTCTGCAATCCTCTTTTCCCACCCTGGTTTCATAGATTTCAAGTTAATCTCAAGGGAAGCTATCCTGACAAAACTCTCAGCCTTTTTCAAATTGGGCAACATGGCTCACCAAGGAAGCTTCTTGTTGTCTCAGAAAGCTCTGTTCCGTTTACCTCAGGGGTCTTCAAACTTGGCCCTTTTATGACTTGTGGACTTCAACTCCCAGAATTCCTCAGTCAGGCATGCTGGCTGAGGAATTCTGGGAGTTGAAGTCCACAAATCATAAAAGGGCCAAGTTTGAAGACCCCTGGTTTACCTGATGTGCTAGCCTAAATGAATCACACCAGATAGGTCAGACATGTCAAACTCGTGATGTCACATGACGTTGTGCAACGTATCGGAGCTTTTTCGCCATTGCCGGCAATGGGGTGGGCGTGGTTTCCCGATGACACGTCCAGCCCACCGGCCGGCAGTTTGACACTCCTGAGATAGGTGGAAAGGGGAAAAAAAAAGAACCTTTATTTGCAAGTAAAAGGGTTACCCAGTGGGCACATTCCTGCTTGCAGTGGACCCCCTTTTAGAAAGTTTTAAAAAGCATACATCGCTCTGGACCAATCATGGGAGCATACAATCATTATAAACCAATCATTTAAGAGCAACATTATGCATCTTCAGTAGTCATAGTAACACAGTTCAGCTAAAGGTTAGAAGATAGGCTAAGATTTTTACCTTATCGCTAACATCCCTCCTTATTAAAAACATTCCCAAGCAACAGGGCACCAGGGCCTTATTCATCACTTTAATGGTCAGGCATTCCTAAGCAGGAGGCAGATGGTCTTGCTCGTGTTCACGGAATCTCTGCTTAACAAAAAGAGTTCAGCTCCATCCAAATAGATAAGCGGCACTATACCAGGGGTAGGCAACCTTGGCTCTTTTATGACTCGTGGACTTCAACTCCCAGAATTCCTGAGCCAGCATGGCTCAGCTTGGAAACCTCTCCCTTTCTCCTCAGCATGGCTGGCTCAGGAATTCTGGGAGTTGAAGTCCACGAGTCATAAAAGAGCCAAGGTTGCCTACCCCTGCCCTGTATAATAGCCTTTTACTCTGGAAATTTAGAATTCAAACAGACAAGGACCTGCCACCTAACACTCCAGATTTAATACAGATAGTCCTCAACTACAACCACAATTGAGCCAAAATTTGTGTTGCCAAGCAAGACATTTGTTAAGTGGGTTTTGCCCTATTTTACGACCTCTATTGCCACATTTGTTAAGTGAATCATGGCAGTTGTTAAGTTAGGGGCATGAATCTGGCTTCCCCATTGACTTTGCTTGTCAAAAAGATGAACACATGACCCCAGGACATTACAGCCGACATAAATGTGAACCAGCTGCCAAGCATCCAAATTTTGTTCACGTGACCATGGGAACGTTGCTGTGGTCTTAAGTGTTTTTTAAAAAACGGTCATAAGTCACTTTTTTTAGTGCTGTTTTAACTTTGAGCAGTCACTAAAAGAATTGTTGTAAATTGAGGACTACAATTGTTGATAAGAAAGACATAAAAAGTCTGGCAGACATGGCAGTACCTGGAGACACCAGAAAAGAAAGGGGAAAAAAAACTGGAAAAGATAACAAAATACAAAGACCTGCAAATAGAAGTAGAACAGCTGTGGCAAAAGCCAACAAAGGTAGCACCAATAGTAATAGGCACCTTGAGGGCAATCCCAAAACAACTGGAGCACCACTTGAACACCATCGGCATTGACAAACTTGCCATCGGTCAATTGCAAAAGGCAGTTTTCCTTGGAACAGCTTACATCCTGTGACCATATCTCTTAACCCCATCATACATCAACATCTGCCTATCCCAAATCCTTGGGAAGGACTCAGGAGGTAGATAAAAATGCAAAATCCAATCTGATCGTCTGCCCGAGTGTGCGACAAACCATAATAAATTAAAATACATTAAAATCCCAACATTCTGAATGATGGAAAGAGATGTTACCTCTTCAGCCAGTAGCCTGCGCTCACCTCCCCAAAAAAAGGTTCAAAAAACTCCCCAAAGAAATTAAGGTTATTTTTGTTTTGTTTTGTTTTGTTTGTAGCCTGAGAAGGAAACAAACAATACAGAGTCGATAGCTCATTTAATACCTAAATTATGCTGTAAGCTTCCCTTTTTTAAACAGGAAAGAAAGGACTGGAGAGAGGGGAAGAGGATAAGCACAGACTTGACACTTGTTTTCCTGGATGAAATAACTTGTACTCCTTCTATTACAAATAGTTTCTCTTTGTTTTGTTTCTGTTTTGTTTATTGTTTTTTTTTTTTAACTTTTGTCATTAAAAATCGGGACATTCTTATAGGTCGTCCTGGCTTAACGGCTGTCCAAAGTTGCAACAGACTTCAAAAAAGCTATTTATAACCTGTCCTCAAACTTAACAGATTGCTTTACTGGCCAACCCCCTCCCCCCCCCAAGTCATGTGATTGCATATTGGGTGCATTTACAACCAATTACGACATCCTGTGGTTACGTGACCACAATTTGGCACATTGAGCCTTTTCCAGCAGAATTGCTATTTTAGAGCCACTGGATATATGCTGGATTCAACTATGCAGTGATGGCGAACCTTTTAGAGACTGAGTGCCCAAAAACTGGCCCCGCCCCTGCTCCACCCCCTGCCTCGCCCCTGTCCCACCTCCATCCCCCCACCCCGCCTGCCCACAGGTCCACTCACTGCCTCCAGGGCCTGCCGCAGATCGCCCAGGCAGCCCAGCAGCACTATGGTAGTCATGCCCTCTGCCCATGCCCTGCAGGCATCATCTGTGCACGATGGGGTGTGAGGGCAGAGTCTTGTCTACGCTGCCTGGCTGCCATGTCCTTGGCTGTGCTTCTCCGCGTGGGACTCTCCTTCAGGGGGGCTGCTGGAGATGGGGTCGCGAGGGGAGGAAAGGCTGGGGCAATGGCACGTGTGCCCACAGAGAGGGCTCCGAGTGCCGCCTCTGGCACTCGTGCCATAGGTTCGCCACCACTGAACTATGGGATTCACTTAAGTATCACGGTGACTCACTTTATGACTGTTGTAAAAATGGTCATCAAATCCAGTTGGATCAGCTGATGCTTAGGACTGTAGTTGTGGGCTCCACTGTGATCAGAAGCCAGGGGGATTGGTATTCAGATCTGACTCGCACAGAATCTTACGTGGCATGATCAATTTGTCAGAAGATTTTCCTGCCCGCTTCGGAAGATGCCTTTCTTTTAAAGTTCACTCGTAGGAACCAGTAGATCAGCTTTAAATAGATCCATACTGTTGGGAAAATCACTGTTTGGATCCCTTTTGTGCCTCCTTCCTTGGTTTAATCCCTCTCTTTCTGCATCCCTGCCCTCGCTCCCCATGCTTGTTGTTAGCTTAATAGAGCAATATGCTTTTTTATCCTAATATTTGGACAGGGCTGATTCTGATTCTGCAAAAAGGCCAAAAGAGTTAATCCACCCCTTCTGCTTTTGAATTAAAGCCTTTCTTCCCTGCTTTGCTTAAATAAAAATAAATGCATTGCTTAATTGCTTTGTTCCTGTATCACCTGTCTTTTCGCCCTTGGGGGAAGTCGGTATCCCGAGCTTCCAACTGTAATCCAAACTGTACAGACTTGGTTTCCTCTGCTTTCCTGATCCGGTTAATTGGCATCTAGCCTGGGAAGGTGGGGTTTCACCGACACAAGCAACAAAAGTTGTTTCCGTTGTCACTCACTTCGGCTTCAAATGTGCCACTCCGTTTGATGTGCAGTTGGGGAAAAAAATTTACTGCCAGGTGTAAACTTGGAGTCCCAGAGGGGAGAAGGCAGCGACATGAAGAATCTAAAGTAGAAAGCCAACGTCATAGGGTCTGAGACCCTTCCTCAACTTCCCCTGTAAGTAGTGGTGAAATTCCTGATTGTGGAAGAATTTAAAACCATAATCTTAAGGCTTTTTTTTTTCTTTTTCTCCTCCTCCTTTGCTTTCTTCTCTCGTTTCTTGGTGTAAAATACTGCTTTGGATAAATGTTTTTTTTTTTTCCCACCGTCATTGTGTCTTTTATGTGTGATGGGAAATCGTAAGCTCAACAGGTGCTCATTTGCTAAATGCACCCATTTTTTTTCCTGTTATCGATAGACGGATTTTTTTTTTTTTAATTCTCGGGAGCTGCATTTGGACGGATTGGGAAACACGGCATAAATAAGTGAACTTTCAGACGGAGATAATCTTCAGTGCCGGAAGATTGCAAACATTACCAAGGAACATTTGTCAATTGCTTTTTTTGTCTCAGAAGGTTGTGGAAACAGAAGAATTTGAACATACTGTACAAATAAGTCCTTGGCTTATAATCACAACTAAGCCCAACATTTATGCTGTTGAGTGAGAAATGGATTAAGTGAGTTTTGACCTGTTTCGCAACTTTTTCTTGCCGCGTTTGTTAAGCACAGTTATTCATTTAATAGCCCGGTTGTTAAGTGAACCTGACTTCCCCATTGACTTTGATTGTCAGAAGGTCACAAAAGGGGATCACATGACCATTTGTCTGAAATGGTATAGGGTTTCTTGCCCGAGCAGGGGGTTGGACTAGATGACTTCCAAGGTCCCTTCCAACTTTTTATTATTATTATGGATCATTGCACAGTCAGCCAGATGTTCAAATTGGGTTTGGCATTTTGTCTACCAATTGAGTCCTTACCCAGGACCTGGGATAGGCAGATGTGGATGTTTAATGGTATTACAGATATCGTTGCAGGATGGAAGCAGTTCCTAATAAGGCCGCCTTTTGCAATTGACTAATAGCGAATTTGTCAATGCCAATTGTGTTCAAGTGGTGCTCCAGTTGTTTTGGGATTGCACCCAAGGAGCCTATGACTATTGGTACTACCCTTGCTTGCTTTTGCCACAGTCTTTCTATTTCTATTTGTATGTCTTTGTATTTTGTTATCTTCTCCAGTTCTTTCTCTTCTATTCTGCTATCTCCATGCACTGCCACGTCCACTATCCAGACTTTTTTGTCTTTCTTATCGACCATTGTTAAGTCTGGGGTGTTATGTTGCAGGTGCTTGTCTGTTTGAATTCTGAAGTCCCATAGCAGTTTAATTTTATCATTTTCTATGACTTTCTCTATTTTATGATCCCACCAGTTTTTGCTTACAGGCAAATGATATTTTTTGCAGATCTTCCAATGCACCATTGTTGCTACTTTGTCATGCCGCTGCTTGTAATCATTTTGTGCAATCTTCTTGCAACAGCTTACCAAGTGGTCCACTGTTTCTTCAGCTTCTTTGCATAGGCGGCACTTACTGTCTGTTGCTGTCTTCTCAATTTTGACTTTGTATGCATTTGTCCTTAAGGCTTGGTCTTGTGCAGCCAGAATTAGTCCCTCGGTCTCTTTCTTCAATTTTCCTGCTCTTAGCCATTGCCAGGTTTATTATTATTATTATTATGGATCATCGCACAGTCAGCCAGATGTTCAGACTGGATTTGGCATTTTTGTCTACTTATTGAGTCCTTACCAAGGACCTGGGATAGGCAGATATGGATGTTTGAATTGATGGTATTACAAATATTGTCGCAGGATGGAAGCTGCTCCTAGTAAGACCGCCTTTTGCAATTGACTAATGGCAAATTTTTCAGTGCCAATGGTGTTCAAGTGGTGCTCCAGGTGTTTTGGGATTGCACCCAAGGCACCTATTACTATTGGTATTATCATTGCTTGCCACAGTCTTTCTATTTTTATTTGTAGGTCTTTGTGTTTTTTTATCTTCTTCACTTCTTTCTCGTCTATTCTGCTGTCTCCAGGCACTGCCACATCCACTATCCAGACTTTTTTTGTCTTTCTGATCAACAATTGTTAAGTCCGAGGTGTTATGTTGCAGGTGCTTGTCTGTTTGAATTCTGAAGTCCCAGAGCAGTTTAATTTTATCATTTTCTATGACTTTCTCTGTTTTATGATCCCACCAGTTTTTGCTTACAGGCAAATGATATTTCTAGCAGATCTTCCAATGCACCATTGTTACTACTTTGTCATGCCGCTGCTTGTAGTCAGTCTGTGCGATCTTCTTGCAACAGCTTACCAGGTGGTCCACTGTTTCTTCAGCTTCTTTGCATAGGCGGCACTTACTGTCTGTTGCTATCTTGACTTTGTATGCATTTGTCCTTAAGGCTTGGTCTTGTGCAGCAGAATTAGTCCCTCGGTCTCTTTCTTCGATTTTTCTGCCCTTAGCCATTGCCAGGTCTTGTTAATATCTGCTTTCCCAGCTATTTTTTTTAATGTACTGGCCGTGTAGTGCTGTGTCTTCCCATGCCTCTATTCTGTTCTTCATTTGGTCTTGCTTGTAGGCCAGTTTGGTCTCTCCAGTAGTCAGTAAGCCTTCCTGATTATTATTATTATTGTTATTATTATTATTAATGTAAATTATACAACCATGAGTATGCTGCAACAGATGGTCATAAGTCACTTTTTTCAGTGCTGTCTAACTTCGAACGGTCACTAAATAAACTATTGTGAGTCGAGGACTTGTTGTAAAATCTCCCGTGGATGTTTGTACACAGCCTTCACCCACCTGAATAATGCAAAAAGAAAGTGATAGGCTTCCATGCTCTTATTTTTCTGTTCTTTTAGCAAACATGCTGCAAGGGAGCTGATTAACTGACGGGCCTGGGCAACAGCAGAATCCCCTGTTGTTTCCTATATTCCTCTCCTTACATCTGCCTTCGTATCCATGCCCCTTTATTGTGCCAAAAGAAGTTGGCAGCTGCGCCTCGAACCAGCTTGGCCAATGGCATCTCCCTATCCTTTTCAGTTACCAAAGAGATATCCATCCTTGGCAAAAGACTTCATGCCAGGATGTTCCTCTTCTCAACAAGGTTTAAAACATTCCAGCGGCCAATAAAGCCAGGGTCCATCCTTCGCCAAAAGAGGGTTTTAAATGCCTTTTGATGCAGGCAGACCTCTGGAGACCGAGAATTTGAGAAGACGGGGAGCTTAAGACAGAACAAAAGGGAAAAAGATCAAGGCAGCAGAGAAGAATAGCTTGTATGGGTATTTTATTTTATCCCGGAACCTTTATTATTATTATTATTATGGATCATCACACAGTCAGCCAGATGTTCAGACTGGATTTGGCATTTTCTCTACCTATCGAGTCCTTACCCAGGATCTGGGATAGGCAGATGTGGATGTTTGATGGTATTACAGATATCGTCGCAGGATGGAAGCAGTTCCTAGTAAGGCCGCCTTTTGCAATTGACTAATAGCGAATTTGTCAATGCCAATTGTGTTCAAGTGGTGCTCCAATTGTTTTGGGATTGCACCCAAGACGCCTATGACTATTGGTACTACCCTTGCTTGCTTTTGCCACAGTCTTTCTATTTCTATTTGTAGGTCTTTGTATTTTGTTATCTTCTCCAGTGCTTTCTCGTCTATTCTGCTGTCTCCAGGCACTGCCACATCCACTATCCAGACTTTTTTGTCTTTCTTATCGACAATTGTTAAGTCTGGGGTGTTATGTTGCAGGTGCTTGTCTGTTTCAATTCTGAAGTCCCAGAGCAGTTTAATTTTATCATTTTCTATGACTTTCTCTATTTTATGATCCCACTAGTTTTTGCTTACAGGCAAATGATATTTTTTTCAGATCTTCTAATGCACCCTAAGAAACAAACCAACTAATGTACAGCACAGCTGCAGTTATAACTGAATACCTGGGATGCAAAATCAACAAAGAATAAAAACAAATAAACAGTGCACCGGAAAAATGGAAGGTTAGACTAGAAAATAAGATCAGCAAGTTAAGATCACATGCAAGCAAGCTAGAACAGATGAAAGAAAAGCTGAAGAACAAGAAGACCAAAGAATACCTAATCAAGAAATACCACTTAGAAACAAGGAAGATCAAGGAAGCACTGGAAATAATAAAGCAACAAATAACCGCTATAGCCAGGAAAATCAGTAGATATGAAGCTCGAATTGCAAACTATAGGCAGAACCTCCAATTTCAATCCAATCAGAAACGTTTCTACCAATCCATCAATGGAGAAACTGCAAGGAATCAGTCAGTACCTGTCAAGGAAGAAACAGTGCAGTTCTGGAAGCAGATATGGGATAACCCAAAGAAATACAACAAGGATGCAGCTTGGTTAAAAGAGGTGGATGCAAATAAAATAGAAGTTGAAATGAAAGAACTAGTAATAACAACAAAAATGGTAGAAAAAAGAGCAAGGAAAATCAAAAATTGGTCAGCACCAGGTGAAGATGAACTGCATGGGTTTTGGTTGAAACATCTAACTGTTATACACCAATTATTACTATTATTATTATTATTATTATTATTATTATTATTATTATTATTATTATTATTATTATTGATCATCGCACAGTCAGCCAGATGTTCAGACTGGGTTTGGCATTTTTGTCTACCTATCAAGTCCTTACCAAGGACCTGGGATGGGCAGATGTGGATGTTTGATGGTATTATAGATATGGTCGCAGGATGGAAGCAGTTCCTAGTAAGACAGCCCATTGCAAGGAACTGCTTCCATCCTGCGACGATATCTGTAGTTGTTGTTGTTGTTGTTGTTGTTGTTGTTATTATTATTTATACAACTACATTGACAAGGGACTAGGGAGAATAGTATATTTAGTACCGGTATTGTACAGAAGAATATTCCTATATCTTTTGAGAGTTTTTTTTTTCCCTTCCCAGTTGTATTCAATTTGATGAAAGAGAATTTGCTTTGGAAACACTTTCAAAAGAGAAAATTCTTAAGGATGCATTGTCAAGTTCTTTATTTTGGAATGAGGTGTGGGACACCTCAAACAGTCTTTCTTCCCATTGTACGATTCCCTCTCCAGCAGTTAGTGAAGCTCTATAACAGAATAACAGAGCTGGAAGGGACCTTGGAGGTCATCTAGTCCAGGGCTTTTCAACCTTTTCACCCATTGTACCACTTTTAGGATATGGCAACATCCGAGTACCACTAGTCACCTAGCAAGGTGTCAAAAACTTGATGACCCCTCCCCCAAAAAGAAAAAAGTGATAAAGTACAGGTAGTCCTCAACTTACAACAGTTCCCTTAGTGACTATTCGAAGTTACAATGGCACTGAAAAAAGTGCCCCCCAAGCCACAGCCGAGCAAGACACCTGCCTGCCCGCCCAGCAGCACTCTTCCTCCTGTCCAAGGTTTTCATTGTTGTGAGCATTTCTGTTGAGGATTGGCAGCGGGGTGGGGGGGCGTTTGGTTTTTATACCCCTGTCTGCTGGGCGGTTACAGCAGGTTTTGGTCACTTCACATGACCCTGGGACACTGTGACCGTCATAAATATGAATCAGTTGCCAAGCATCTGAATGTAAATCACAAGACCCTGGAGATGCTGCAACATTCCAGCTGATCGGCGCTTCTTCTGGGCTCAGCAGAAGCGCCAGGGTCAGTGCCGAGCTCCATCTGGAGCCTGGCATTGATCCTGGTGCTTCCACTAAGCCCTGACAGCCCCGAAGAAGTGCTGATCCTGGGGCTTCCGCTAAACCCTGACAGCCCTGCAGCTCCAGCCATCTCTTGCTCAGGTTTGTGCAGTGCTGCCACCGGTTCAGCTCATTCCCCTCCCCCACTACCACTTTTCTAGGATGGTCACATACCACCTGCCAGGTGCCAATGTACCACAGGTGGTACCCGTACCACTGGTTGAAAAGCCCTGGTCTAGTCCAACCCCTTGCTCAAGCAGAAGACCCAGTACCATTCCAGACAAATAGCTGTCCAATCTCTTCTTAAAAACCTCCGGTGCTGGAGCACCCACAACTTCTGGAGGCAAGCCGTTCCACTGGTGAATTGTTCTCACCATTAGGAAATTTCTCCTTAGTTCTAGTTTGCTTCTCCCCTTCTTTATTTTCCATCCATTGTTTCTTGTCTTGCCTTCTTTTGGAGAATAGGTTTCTATAGGTTTCTGTACTTTCATTTCAGCCCGTAGAAGGCCACAGGAAGGAATCTTTTTCAGGTGGAGAGCCAGAGAAACAACAACATCAGCAATAACGCACCTTTCACTGCTTTCAGCAATAAAAAAAGCTTTTTAAAAAAATAAAGCCATTGGGAGAAAATTTGGAAGAACTTTCTTGGCATCCAGAGAAGATAGGGTAGCAAAGGTCTCATTGGCAGAAGGAGTAATTCTGGAAACATTGCAAGTTTGCCTGGGTGCCATATGATTTCAAGCTGTCTGCTGTGTCCAAGAGATAAAGGTAAAAAGCATCTTGGCTAGTGCCTTCAAAACCAAGGCTATGTAGTGTCAGTTGGGGCTGAGGTCCTCCCCAATTGTTACACAAGCCAGGTACACCACAATAGGGGCACTCTGGGTCAGGCTGGGCCCTACCCTTAGGTATGTAGGGACCCCTCAGCAGCAGATGCCAAGAAAAACAGAATGGAGAACAGTTACATGTCTTCTACGTAGTCTTCCTTGGGCTCCCTTGTTCCCGTCAGGTGCATTTCAACATCTTCTCTTAATACCAGTGTTGACATTAGATGCAGCTTAGCTTCTGTATATGGGACAGGAGAAGTGTCTGCTTGACCCTTCGGTAGTAAGATATCTTCAGCTGGCTTTAATAGAGCCATTGTAGCCCTTCAGAAGGACCAGAGTCCTTTCTTTGATCAACATGGTCCAGATCAGAACCTCAGATCTGTGGGACTGAGACTACCAAGAAGAATATTTGTAATTCAGGATTGAAATGAGAGATCCTCTCAAAGAACCACCAAGAACACTCCCACCGATAGGGCAATCCACTAATCCTACTAGCACTGGTAATGTTAGCTAGTTTGGTGAGAGAGAGAAGGAGAGAGAGAGAGGCCCAAAGTCATCAGGCATTTATAATAATAATAATAATAATAATAAGAAGAAGAAGAAGAACAAGAAAAAGAAGAAGAAGAAGAAGAAGAAGAAGAAGAAGAAGAAGAAGAAGAAGAAGAAGAAGAAGAAGAAGAAGAAGAAGAAGAAGAAGAAGAAGAAGAAGAAGAAGAAGAAGAAGAAGAAGAAGAAGAAGAAGAAGAAGAAGAAGAAGAAGAAGAAGAAGTAGTAGTAGTTGGAAGGGACCTTGGAGGTCATCTAGTCCAACCCTCTGCTCAGGCAGGAAAACCAGTATCATTTCAGACAAAGAGTTATCCAATCTCTTCTTAGAAACTTCCAGTGTTGGAGCATCTACAACTTCTGGAGGCAAGTTGTTCCACTGATTAATTGTTCTAACTGTCAGAAAATTCCTCCTTAGTTCTAGGTTGCTTCTCTCCTTGATTAGTTTCCATCTGTTGCTTCTTGTCCTGCCTTCAGGTGCTTTGGAGAATAGCTTGACTCCCTCTTCTTTGTGGCAACCCCTGAGATATTGGAATACTGCTATCGTATCCACCCTCGTCCTTCTCTTCATTAAACTAGACATACCCAATTCCAGCAACCGTTCCTCATATGTTTCAGCCTCCGGTCCCCTGATCGTCTTTGTATTCCTCTGAATTACAGAATGCCTCACGTGGGTAACCCCCATGAGCTCTGCACAGTTTCGTTCACTCCGCATCATTGTTGATGACAGTTACAGGAATCTAAGCCACTCAGTTTCACTTTTTTATAGAAGTGGCATAAACATACTTGTAATAAGTATTGGTGGAACTACTGGATATTAAGAAATTGATCAACAGAAGCATCAGGCAGTCTTCAACTCCATTTGCAATCTCAGTTTTACTTATAGATTTTGAAACAAACTTCATAAAGACTTAACAAAAATATAAAATGTAAATATAAAAATATATGAATATTTTACTTCTTTCTTTCTTTGCTTATCAGTATCTCATTTTTGTTTCGTATGACTGGGGTGCGGTGCGGTATAGATTGTGCTTCCTTCTTTTTTCCCCATAACAACCACTTTGTGAGGAAAGATGGGCTGAAAGAGAATGATCACTTCAAAATAATTCAGGTGGCTTCAAGCAGAAAGATGGAATAGAGTAATAGTAGTAGTAATAGTAGTAGTAGTAGCAGCAGCAGCAGCAGAAAGATGGAATAGAGTAATAGTAGTAGTAGTAATAGTAGTAGTTATTTTATTATCAGGAACACAACTGTCAAATGACTGGAGAAATCAGGAGATTCGGGCAGTTCAAATGAGTATTAAGATTTATTGGAAGCTTAAGCTGTCTACAAGAATCTGACCAATTAACCGTCAAGGGAAAATTAGCGGGAGATAAGAAAGGCATTCAATGAGATCTCTTGCAAGTGGGCAAGGATTCATGACTTATGACTTGTTTGACTTCTCCCTCAGGCTCAGCCTGGTCATCTCCTACAACACAATTAGCAGAAGATCTTGAATTTAGAGGACAACTTTAGAGGAAAGTTGGAGGGGGGGGGGAAAGCATGTTGGTTTCCATTATTATATTCTCTGCAAATCTAAGATAGCCTTCCCATAAGAAAATTTTAAAAATCCAAACTAATCTTTCCTTCAGGCAAACAGTGCTGGATGGGTGATGTAACTATAGCTATATATGTGATAACAATCTTTGAATCCAGTTGAATTCTCTGCTCTGTCCTGTAGATCCATGAAGATCTGAAGCTTCCAAACCTGTTCCTACCTCTCTGCTGCTGCTGAAGGAAAGCAGTTTCACTGGGACAGAAGAAGGAAAACCAAGGGGAAGAAGTGGAGACCTCCAGGGACAGGGGAAAAATAATCCATCGATGGCCTGCCCAGGGTTTAGAAAACCAGCCAAGTGAAAACGGTTGCCAAGGTAAATGAATCTCTCTGAGCTTCTCACAATGCACAAAGTTGTCTCCAGGTTTGGTAACTGTGTGTCTTTCCCGGAATCTCACCTAAAAAGAAGTTGAGCATAAAAGGATCTCTTCTACCATAGGTGAAGTTTGCCAGATGCAAGATGTTAGATGTGCCCAAGAAGGTGAGTTTGTGGCACTAGATGGAGAGCCCAAGGCCAAACCTGGCCCTTGTTGCTTGATCATCTCTAAGGAGAAATGAAAACAATTCCAGAAGAAGGGCTTTATTAATTTCAAGAACACTGAAACAAATTGAACTGATAGAAGAGAATATTTATAGAGAATATTTATAGCTCTGGGTTGAACTAGGGGCTTGTTTGTTTTTGTACAGACATTTCATTACCCAACTAGGTAACATGATCAATGCTAGAAAGGAGTGGGGTTTGCTTTCTGCTTCTATATTTAGTTTCCCTCTCAGTGTTAATAGTAGCAGTAGTAGTAGTAGTAGTAGTAGTAGTAGTAGTAGTAGTAGTAATAATAATAATAATAATAATAATAATAATAATAATAATAAAGTTGAAAGGGATCTTGGAGGTCATCTAGTCCAACCCCCTGCTCAGGCAGGAAACCCTATATCAGTGGTGGCGAACCTATGGCACGGTTGCCAGAGGCGGCACTCAGAGCCCTTTCTGTGGGCACATATGCCATCGCCCCAGTCCTAGGCCTTCAGCTACTTTTTATAAAACCTTTTCGCTTTAGCCCTCCACTGCTGTGTACAAAAAAACGGTTCAATCAATCAGTCAATTTCAATTTCTTGTGGGAAAAAAAAAGATCTTGCAAAGTTGGAATTGGTTGATTGAACTCTTTAGTCCCACACAGTCTGCTGTTACCACCACAGCCACGCCCACCCAATGGGCCACACCTACCCCGCACCCGACGATAATAAGTGGGTTTTGGGTTGCAGTTTGGGCACTTGGTCTCTAAAAGGTTCACCATCACTGCCCTATACCATTTCGGACAAATGGCTGTCCAGTCTCTTCTTAAAAACTTCCAGTGTTGGAGCATTCACCGCTTCTGGCGGCAGGTGGTTCCACTGGTTAATTGTTCTAACTGCCAGGAAATTTCTCCTTAGTTCTAGGTTGCTTCTCTCCTTGATCAGTTTCGATCCGTTGCTTCTTGTCCTGCCTTCAGGTGCTTTGGAGAATAGCTTGACTCCCTCTTCTTTGGGGCAGCCCCTGAGATATTGGAACACTGCTATTATGTCTCCCCTCGTCCTTCTCTTCATTAAACTAGACATGCCCAATTCCAGCAACCGTTCCTTATATGTTTTAGTCTCCAGTCTCCTAATCATCTTTGTTGCTCTTCTCTGTACTCTTTCTAGAGTCTCAACATCTTTTTTACATTGTGGTTGACCAAAACTGGATGCAGTATATTCCAAGTGTGTCCTTACCAAGGCAGTGTTGGTAGAAAATGTTCTGGGTTCAGTGAACAACAGCTTAATCAAGCAACCACTAAACCACCAACCAACACAGAGCAAGCCACTTGCATATAAGCAGAGACCAAACCCCATTCCCTTCTACACTGATGATGTTGCCTAATTGGGTAAGGAAATGTCTGCAAGAAAACAGCCAAGCTCAGAGAGCACCAAGGACCCCACAAACACAGATGAGTGGGATCTTCTGCCCTGTTGACTATGCCAATCAAATAGTCTCTTGTTCCACGATATCCTGTTTTGGTATTACTCAGTTTTCTGTACTTTCCCCTTTTTTGGTCAATCTTGCCAACCTATTCCAACTTCATTGGATTGTTTTATGCCTCTTCCTTCTTAAGTTTCCCAATATTTACTCAAAGGCAGTTGGCCTTTTCTAGGTGCATTGGGAATGTTAATTCCACAGCTTTCAGCAGATTGGGCTGATGCCAGCTTATAGGAGGTGAGCTTAATCGCCTTGCTTTCTGGAATTGGCTTGCCTGAGTTAAGTTTGAACATTTTTATCTGACACTTCTGAAAACCATCAGGGGCTAAATTAACTTTTTTGTTTTGTTTTGACGGTGTGGAAAAATCTGTTCTGTGCAACATTTTAATTAAAGCCTTTCTCTACTAATCTCTGCACATCTGTGGAGAAGGGAAATTCTTTCGTGTCAGCTGGGAAGGAGGAGGAAATAAAGAGGGAGACTGAACACTTTGATAGCTCAGAGTTTCAAAGAGATGGCCACAACAGGCGCAGCGGCCGCCATCTTTAAAAAAACACACACCATTTAATTTCACTTCTGTTCTTCCTGGAGGCTTCCAAGGACCGCTGTCTACCTCAGCGGTTCTTAACCTTTTTGAACGAATCGCCCCCTTGACCCAATGAGGAAGTTGTCATCGCCTCCCTCCTCCAACATAACCTCTCAATCACAACATAGGAAATAATTCTTCAATTTATGCAAACCCTTTTTTTGTTTTCTTTAAAATTGTCATCAGGACATATCGATGCAAATAATTTATTTCCAGTCTTTTCCCCATATCTCCCATATTCTGGCCAATGGCGTGCCACTGTATGGGTAGACGCTGCTGCGCAACACGCATGAAGATAAGCGATGCGTCTTCACATATGTACGGCGTTCTGTACTGAAGCTAGCTGGAGGAACATTTGAAAACACAATTCAGTCCATTAATAGCGAGCGATCTGATGTTTTTGTACGACAGATATACAGCGATTCACTGTACGAAAAAGTCTCAAAAGTGTCCCCAAAACTTCTTGCTCCATCACCCCCATATCACCCCCTTTTCGTTCCTTCGCCCCCCTGAAAAACAAAATCGCCCCCTGGGGGGCAATATCGCCCAGGTTAAGAACCACTGGTCTACCTGATTCAGAATTAACATTTTCAAGGAGGCATATGGTTTGCAGCCAAAAAAAGCCAGCTAGAGGGCTTTGTGACATGCAAATTCCTTTCTGATTGTGAGCCCTGTCTATATCTTTTTTTTTTCTATTTTTAATAATTTCAGGGCTATTCCTTCCACTGTGTGTGTGTCAGTTTTATTTCTTTAAAGGATTTTCCCCTACCTTCTGCAAAGAATGGGAATCAACCTCCCTCTTGGCATCTTAAGTAGATGCCTATAAAAATGTATGTGCAACAGGCAAAGTCACATTCATAGGTCCCTGTAAGGCAGCGATAAGCCCAGCACCTTTCCCTCTCCGGATTTAGTAAATTAATTTTTCCTAGACATTAAGTCATATGAATAGCTAACGGAACTAGGCATGTTTAGCCTAACGAAAAGAAGATTTAGGGGGGAGATATGATAGCAGTTTTCTAGTACTTGAGGGCCTGTCACAGGGAGGAAGGGGGAAAATTATTCTCCATAGCACTTGAAACAGGACAAGAAGCAATGGGGGAAAGCTTGTCAAAGGGAGACCGGACATGGAAATATGGAGGAAATTCTTGACAGTGAAAGCAATAAGTGGAATAGCTTGTCTCCCAGAGTTCTGGGTGCTACATCACTGCAGATTTTCAAGAAAAGATTGGACAGTCATATGTCCAGGATGATATAAGGACCCCTGTTTTGGGCTAGGTCAGGGGTAGGCAACCTTGGCTCTTTTATGACTCGTGGACTTCAACTCCCAGAATTCCTGAGCCAGCATGGCTCACCTTGGAAACCTCTCCCTTTCCCCTCAGCATGGCTGGCTCAGGAATTCTGGGAGTTGAAGTCCACGAGTCATAAAAGAGCCAAGGTTGCCTACCTCTGGCCTAGGCCTAGGCCGCTGTCTGACTCGTGGACTTCAACTCCCAGAATTCCTGAGCCAGCATGACTCAGCTTGGAAACCTCTCCCTTTCCCCTCAGTGTGGCTGGCTCAGGAATTCTGGGAGTTGAAGTCCACGAGTCATAAAAGAGCCAAGGTGGCCTACTCCTGGACTAGATAGAAGACCCCCCAAAGATCCTTCCAGCCCTATAATTGTACGAAATAAATAAATACTCTTTCTCCTGTTGGATTCAGGTCTTTCAAACCAGACCAGCAGGAGGCAGAGGGACAATAACTCTCCCATCATTTTAGGCAAGAGAAGCTGGAAAAATTCTCCTAGCTGATATTCTTGTACTTGACGACCCAAAGATAGGCGTTAGCTGTTTCATTGTACAGTCATCTCTCCATCTTCCTTATTTTTCTATGTTAAATTATATCACTTAAAGAGTGTAAGAGAGGGATTCCCAAGAAGTAGTGGAACTGCAGGTCAATTTGTGGTCACCCGGTGGATTATAGCCACTAGAATAGACCACTTTCGGTATCTGATGGATCCAGCTTTCCAGAAGTCACGTGGGATTTTCCAGAGAATCTGGCAAACATCCCCGTCTCTGCTTAGCTGATCTCTAGAACATGGAGATGACCAAAGTGCTCACTGTGACCTTCCTCCTATCTTCATTCCTGGCCGTGCCTTGGTTTTTGAGGAAAGAGAATGAAACTGAGCATTGAGACAACCTGGGCATTACCTGTGAAGCTCTATGCAGCATTGCTCAGGTAGATCAGGAAACACCTTAGCTTTCCCTATGATTCTGCCTATCCAGTCAGTCCTCTGGAGAAAGCTGGTTGAGATCCAGCCCGCCATCTTCAAGAAATATGTAGTGCAGGATCAAGAATACAGAACCATTCACAAGAGAGATATATCTCGGTGTGGAAAAGATGGGTAAATTTTGTACAGAATAAATATGGGATTAGAAAGTATTATTTAGCTTTTGAATAATTTATAGTTTAAAGTGGGTATTTTTCTTTTCTTTTTTTATTGTTATGTTATGGTTGGACTTGTTGTTTCTATGTATTGGAGTTAAAGTTGTTGTTGTTAATTGCGAAGTCGTGTCCGACCCATCGCGACCCCATGGACAACGTTCCTCCAGGTCTTCCTGTCCTCTACCATCTTCTGGAGTCCATTTAAGCTCCCGCCTACTGCTTCAGTGACTCCATCCAGCCACCTCCTTCTCTGTTGTCCCGTTCTTCTATTGCCCTCCATCTTTCCCAGCATCAGGCTCTTCTCCAGTGAGTCCTTCCTT